AAAAAAAAAAAAAAAAACGGAAAGAATCAACAACACCAGAAGTTTAGTTTGTTCTTTGTGAGGATTGATAACTGACAAACCATTGGCCAAAGTGACACAGAAAAAAATGAGGAGATGCAAATAACCACAATAAGAAATAAAATAAGAACTGAGATAAAGAAGATCTTATAACATGGATGAATCTGTAGAACATCATACTGAGTGAAATAAGTCAATCAGAAAAGGACAAATATTGTATGGCCCCACTATTATAAAAAGACAAAGAGTAGATATACACACAAAAAACAATGTGCTTTGATGGATACCAAAACCAAAACCAAACTCACTGCCATTGAGTCGAATCTGACTCATAGCAACCTCTCAGTGGGTTTCCAAGGCTGTATCTCTACGGAAGTAGATTACCCAACCTTTCTTCTGAGGAGTAGCAGGTGGGTTTGAACCACCAGCCTTCTGGTTAGCAGTCAAGTGCCTTAGGCACTACACCACCAGAGCTCCTGATGGTTACCAGGGATAGGGATAAGAAGGGAAGGGAAGAGGAATCACTCTCTAGATAGTAAACACTTGTTATTTTTGATCAAGAAAAAGGCCATACCAAATATGGATGAAATCTACACAACTTGAACAAAGTAAATGAAGACACTAAGAAGTACACCAGAAAAACGGACAATTTTGTATTTACCACACATAAAATTAGCATTTCAACAACATAAACGATGGCTGCACACATGGACTTTGTGAGATGGAGTATGCAGGAATCAGATCGACAACATCTGGGGAAAGAGGCAATGGAGAAGCTCAATATCTTCAGCCAAAACAAGGCCAGGACCTGATTGTGGAACAGACCATCAACTGCTCATAAGCAAGTTCATGTTGAAGCTGAAGATAATTAAAAGAAGTCAGTGAGAGACATTGATTATATCCCTCCTGAATTTAGAGACCATCTAAAGAATAGATTTGATGCATTGAACACCAATGACCGAAAATCAGAGAAATTGTGAGATGACATCAAGAAAATCATCCATGAAGAAAGCAAAAGGTTATTAAAATGACAGGAAGGAAGAAAAGACCAAAATGAATGTCAGAAGAGACTTTGAAACTTGCCCTTCAAAGGAGTAGCTAAAGGAAATGGAAGAAATGACAAGATAAAAGAACTGAACAGAAGATTTCAAAGAGCAGCTCGAGAAGACAAATGCAGTTATTGTAATGAAATGTGCAAAGACCTGTAGTTAGAAAACCAAAGGGAAAGAACCCACTTGACATTTCTCAAGCTGAAAGAACTGAAGAAAAAATACAAGCCTTGGGTTGCAATATTGAAAGATTCTATGGGCAAAATACTGAATGATACAGAAAATATCAAAAGAAGATGGAAGGGATGCACAGAGTCACTGTACAAACAAACAAACAAAAAAATGGTCGATGTTCATTCATTTCAGGAGGTGGCATATGGTCAAGAACCAGTGGTACTGAAGGAAGAAGTTGAAGCTGCACTGAGGGAATTGGTGAAGAGCAAGGCTCCAGGAATTGATAGAATACCCATTGAGATGTTTCAACAAATGGATACCATGCTGGAGGCACTCACTCATCTATGCCAAGAAATTTGGAAGACAGCTCCCTGGCCAACTAACTGGAAGAGAACCATATTTGTACCCATTCCAAAGAAGGTGATCTCACAGAATGTGGAAATTATTGAACAATATCATTAATATCACACACCAGTACAATCTTGCTGAAGGCAATTTAAAAAATAGTTGCAGCAGTATATGGACAGAGAACTTCCAGAACTACAAGCCAGACTCAGAAGATGACGTGGAATGAGGGATATCATTGCTGATGTCAGATGGATCTTCACTGAAAGCAAATACCAGAAAGATGTTTACTTGTATTTTATTGACTATGCATAGGCATTCGATTGTGTAGATCATAACAAATTATGGATAACATTGAAAAGAATGGGAATCCCAGAACACTTCATTGTCCTCATCAGGAACCTGTACATAGACCAAGAGGCAACTGTTTGAATGGAATGAAGAGATACGGAATGGGTTAAAATCATGAAGGGAGTGTGTTCAGAATTGTATCCTTTCCCCATATTAGTCCAATCTGTATGGTGAGCAAATAATCTGAGAAGTTGGACTATATGACAAAGAGCATGGCATCAGAATTAGAGAAAGACTCATTAACAACTTGTAATATGCAGATGACACAACTTTGCTTGCTGAAAGTGAGGATGACTTGATACACTTACTGATGAAGATTAAAGACTACTGTCTGCAGTATGGATTACATCTCAACATAAAGAAAATGAAAATCCTCACAGCTGGACCAATAAGTGGCATCATGATAAATGGAGAAAAGATTGAAGTTGTCAAAGATTTCATATTACTTGGTTCCACAATCAACACCAATGGAAGCAGCATTCAAGACATCAGATGATGTATTGCACTGGGCATACCTGCTGCAAAAGACCTCTTTAAAGTGCTGAAGAGCAAAGATGTCTCCTTGAAGATTGAGGTGTGCCTAATCCAAGCCATGATATTTTCAATCTCCTCATATGCCTGTGAGAACTGGACAGTGAATAAGGAAGACCAAAGAAGAGTTGATGCTTTTGAGTTGTGATGTTGACAAAGACTACTGAAGGTACCATGGACTGCCATAAGAACTAACAAATCTGTTCTGGAAGAAGTGCAGCCAGTACGCTTCTTCGTCTGACCTACTTTGGTCATGCTGTCGGAAGGGACCATTCCCTGGAGAAGGATATCATGCTTGGTAAAGTGGAGAGTCAACAAAAAAAAAAAAAAAAAAGGGAAGACCCTCAATGACAAGGAAACCAATAACTCAAAGAAACTAGTCCACAGGACTAATAGCCCATGTGAACCATGACCTCTTCTAACCTGAAAACAGAATTAGATGGTGCTTGGCTACCACTACCAGCCATTCTGACCAAGGACACAATAAAAGATCCCAGATAAAATAGGAGGAAAATGTAGAACAAAATTCAAGTTCTTAAAAAAAAAAAAAAAAAGGCAGACCTACCAGACCAATAGAGATTGGAGGAACACCAGAGATTATCATCCTAAAATACTCTTTGCACTTGGAAATGAGGCTATTGCTAGAGGTCACCTCTCAACCAAATAAAATATTGGGTTATAACACCAGTGAAAAATATGATCCCTTAAATAATCAAATGGTCAACCAAAGTAAAGATAGGAGGACAAGGGAAACTAGATCAATGGAAAGAGAACAAATAAAATGGAAATGAGAATGCTGACACATTATGAAAAGTGTAACCAATGTCATGAAAAATTTGTATAAAAATTGTTACATGGGAATCTAATTTGCTGTGTAAAATTTCACCTAAAACACAATATAGTATTTTTAAAAAGAAAGAAAGAAAGAATGTGCTCTAACACTTGGCCAAAAATGGCTTTGCTAGATTTTTTGAGCTCTGGCATACTGCACTAGGTGGAGTAAATGAGGAGAAATGTTCATGCTATTAAAACATGCGATATGAAGATGATACTACCTACTTGCTGAAAATGAAGAAAACTTAAAGCACTTACTGGCAAAGATCAAAACCTTCAGTATGGATTACCACTCAACATAAAGAAAACAAAACTCCTCACAACTGGACCAGTAAACAGAATCCTGATAAATGGAAAGAATATTGACTTTGTCAAGGATTCCATTTTACTTGGATTCACAATCAATGTCCATGGAAGCAACAGTCAAGAAATCAAATGAGATATTGCATTGGGTAAATCTGCTGCAAAAGACTTCTTTACAGTGTTAAAAAAAGAGAGAGAGAGAAGATGTCACTTTGAAAGCCAAGATGGCCGTGACCCAAGCCATGGTCTTTTCAATAGCCTTATATGCATGTGAAAGCTGGACAATGAATGTTGTTGTTGTTATGTGTCATCGAGTCAGACCTGACTCATAGCGACCCCTCCTTGGGTTTCCAAGGCAGTATCACTACAGAAATAGATTGCCTCATCTTCCTTCCAAGGACAATGAATAAGGAAGGCCAAAGAAGAGTCAATGCCTTTGAATTGTGGTGTTGGTGAAGAATATTGAACATGCCATGGGCTGCAAGAAGAAGGAACAAATCTATCTTGGAGGGAATACAGCCATAATGCTCCTTAGAAGTGAGAAGGGTGGCCAGACTTCATGTCTCATACTTTGGCCATGTTGTTGGAAGGGACCAGTCTCGAGAAGGAGATGATGCTTGGTGAAGTAGATGGTCAATGAAAAAAGGAAAGACTTCCTCAGTGAGATGGATGGACACAGTGGCTTTGATGATAGGTTCAAGCATAGCAATGATTGTGGGGATGGCACAACACTGGGCAGTGTTTCATTCTGTTGTGCATAGGGCTGCAATGAACACTGAGTCAGAACAGACTCAATGGCACCTAATAACACATTCATGTTATCAAATTTTTTCCTTTCCCATATTCAAAATTCAAAAGCTCACCATAAGATGGAGCTACCTACACTCATAAAAGTTTTGAGTCAGGGCAAGGTAATGGAGACACAAGAATCAATGAGAAACACTAATGAGACAATGATGCTGAAAAGCAAGCTTGTGACCCAGCCAGGAGCCACTCATGTGTTTTCTGCTGGGTCACCTCTGTTATTGTTATGTGCCGTCAAGTCGGACCCCACTCATAGTGACCCCTCCTTGGGTTTCTGAGGTGGTATCACTACGGAAGTAGACCGAGGAGTGGCTGGTGGGTTTGAACCAACAGGCTTCTGATTAGCAGCCAAGTCCTTAGGCACTATGCTACCAGAGCTCCTAGGGTTTGGTTGAAGGAGATTCCAGAGGTGAAGGTAAATACATGAGTGCACCTGGATAAATGCCCTGGTTTTTCTGTTTCTCTCCACAGGGGGCTTGGCCTCAGTGATTTACACAGACACCCTCCAGACCATCATCATGCTGATTGGCTCTTTCATTCTCATGGGATTTGGTAAGTGAATTAAGATAGAGGATGGTCTGCGTGTGAGCATTGTCTCGGGCTGGGAATCATGGGGCGATTTTTCTGCTCAGTCTATGTGGGTTGCTCCCTGTCTGCTGTCTTCCAGTTCCATCTGGTCTCATTTGCATAATTCTCATCCTTGCTGACTTCTTTCTTGCTCTTCTACCTCAGCATGAGGAAATGGGAGAGAAGAACTTTACTCCCTTTAAAAAATTATTGCTTAGGTAAATTATCTTATTTCACCATAATCTTTGTGTTCAGAATGGACAAATTTAGTACTATTGACTGACAATTTTAGAGAAATATCCATGCATTGGAAACCCTTCATCTACATAGAATTTTCATGAAATAAAGGATTAGATATTAGGAAATATTTAGATAATTGAACATTAACCTTATTATGACTGTTTTAGATGGAAATTCATGGAGGAAATTACAGCATTGCTGGAATATACAAACATAGGTTGAATTTTCTTTGATGACTCTGTTGATACTAGTGAGGATCTTCAGTTAGTTCACTCTTTTAAGTCGTGCCACCAAGCAATATTGATTACTCTAACTCACAACTGGATAATTTTTTCTTTTATTTTGTTATGGTGTTTCTTATCTTTGGATAGGAAATCTATACACACAATAAATTCATAACAGACTTGTGTTAGTTTTCCTAAGACTATAGTAACAAAACACCACCAGGTGCATGACTTATAAAAACAGAAATTTGTTGTCTCATAGATGGAAGTGTCAAACTGTTAACCAAGCCAAGGTGTCTCTGAAGACTCTAAGGGAATATCCTTTCTTGTCTGCCAGCTTTTGGTATTCCCAGTAATTCATTGGCTTACACATGCATGTTCACATGACAGCCTTCCTGTCTTTCTCTCTGTTTCTTCTCTTTTATAAGAATACCACTCAGATTTCACTAGTACTCACCCTATTCCAGTATGACCTAATTTTAACTGACATCTTTAAATATATATAGATAGATAGATAGATAGATAGATATAGTATTTTATTGTGTTTTTGGTGAAAGTTTACACAGCAAATTAGGTTCCCATTTAACAATTTCTGGACAAATTGTTCAGTAACATTAGTTACACTTTTCAAAATATGTTAACATTCTCTTTAATGGCTTTCTAGTTGTTCCGTTTCCAGTGCTCTAGTTTCCCTGCCCTCTCCTCATCTTTTCTTTTTTTGTTTTTGTTTGTTTGTTTGTTTGTTTGTTTTTGGTTTTTTAGAGTAATGGTTGACCTTTTGGACTCATATAGATATTTTTTTGTTTCTCTGATTTTTAATGGAGCACTGTACTCACAGATAATATCCTTTATTGTGTATGCCAATCTGTTATTTTGCTAAAAGATGACCTTAGGGGATACTTTTGGTTCAAAGTTTAAAGAGTTTCTCAGGACAGTAGCTGAGGAAGTCCTCTAGTCTCAACTAGTCCAGTAAGTCAGAACTTTTTAAGAATTTGAGTTCTGTTCTGCATTTTTCTACTATTCTGTCAAGATCCATATATTGTGGCCCTGATCAAAATGGTCAGCAGTGGTAGCTAGGCAACATCTAGTTCTTGTCTCAGGATACATAAGGCCATGGTTCGTGTAGGCTATTGGCCCTGTACTAGTTTCTTCTCTGAGACTTTGGTTTCCTTCTTTGTCTTCTGCTCCTGATGAGTAGAGACCAATAGCTGTATCTTAGAAGGTTGCTCTCAAGTTTTAAAGACCTCAGATGCTACTCATCTCACTAGGATGCAGAACATGAACTTTGTGAACTGTATTATTCCAATTGAGTTATTCCATGAGACTAAGGTCTTAAGCCTTCAAACCCAGAAAATCAGTTTCAGAAGGCGTTTGGTTAGCTCTGAGAAGTGTCTCTAACTGTGTCCCGTATGAATAAATATGCATACACTCATCTACTTCTATCTGTGCACACGTAAGAATACTCCTGTGCACACCCATACACATACATGCCTATCCACATATATACAAGCACTCATTTTTTCGTTATTGCTGGCGTTATTGCCAAATTATATATGTTCTTTAGTACAAACATCCTTTTCTCTTGTGTGCTTCTTAGTGGCATTGTTTCTTTTGCTCAAGCTGTGCTCATTGCACTCACATTTAGTGCTTCTTTTCCCATCAGCAAAAATAACAAATATCTACTATCTAGAGATTGGTTACCCCTCCTCTCAC